GACTCATTGTCCATTCAACCAAATGTGTTGAATTAGCCCACTCACATATTCATACTGCTATAGTATTTACCTCTATTTTTACACATATAAATGGTAGCGGAGCAATTTCATATTGTACAAAGAAAGATTTGTAGAGAGTAGTAAAGAGAAAAAGAAAGGCATCAAGCCGTATTGAGTTGTTGTAAACCTCTCTCTCTGTCTTGTACCTGGAACAGTCGGTCATTTGTGTCTTAGACCTCCATTTAAACCCTCCAAAGCAATTGAGATTTCCTCCACCACCACCACCACCACCACATTTTTTCCTGTCATTGTCTTCTAGCTCAAAAAGTCATTCCTCTGAAGAAGAAATGACTGTGGAGAAGAGAGCATGGCAATCTTTCATTCCAGTCTGTTGCAAGGTTGAGAGTCCATCTCCGAAGCACAAGAAACAGAATAATTCATTACAAAGGCTGGTCGCTTTATGGGATTTAAGTTCTTCAGAGGATCTCTCCAATTCCCTAGCTGGATCAAACCTTCATGTGTTTACGTTTGAAGAGCTGAGGATGATCACACACTGCTTCTCGTCGAGTAACTTTCTCGGTGAAGGCGGGTTTGGACCGGTTCATAAGGGTGTCATTGATGACAAGCTTAGACCTGGTTTGAAGGCTCAGCCTGTGGCTGTTAAAGTCTTGGATCTGGATGGCTTTCAAGGCCACAGGGAGTGGCTGGTATGTAAAATATTGATCGAAATTACCTTGTTCTTCCGCCTAACCTTTCTTTACTTTTACTAATTTCATACTTGAATGTCGTATTTGCGCAATTGATACATGATTTTTACGCGGTTAACGTGAGGAATTGCTTGAATCAATTATTTTTATCTCCTTTTTTTTAAACAGACAGAAGTGATATTTCTTGGACAATTGAGGCATCCACATTTGGTGAAGCTGATAGGATATTGTTGTGAAGATGAATACAGGCTGCTGGTTTTACGAATACATGCCACGAGGTAGCTTGGAGAATCAACTTTTCAGAAGTATGTTCTCTTTTGCTTACACTAGTTTACCATTTTAATACATTTTTTTCCTTTTCCTTTTTCTTTTCTAATACGGTTTTGTAACAATTAAATAAGAACTAGGGGTTCTATGATTCTATCTTAGTGGGATGGTGATATTGTTCCTCCATTGATCAAGAATTTTGATTTTTGAGAAGTATCATAGTTTCTCCGCTTGTGATGCAGAGGTTGTTAATTTGACTGTCCTCCCCAACATCTATCGATAAAGAATTACAGATGATGTGGTGCATATGTAGTCCATGGATGACTAGTGGGAGTTAAATGAAAAACACCACAATTCACAATGATTTGGTTTGAGAAATTTGATAAGAGTTTTGGTATATAACAATATTACTCCACCCTCAAAGTATGAGAAGATTGCTTTATTTACAAAGCCAGCTCAATAGTAGTCAATAAAAAAGGATCAAGAAAAGTCAATGACACTGTTATCTTAGTGGTTTACAATGGGATCAATGGACTTTTTTTCTTCTTTCATCAGGGGAAGAATTTTTTTAGGGTGCAAGCTTCCTGTTTTCCACTTCATTTGGCGGCTAGGAACTTGTCAATTAGCTCAATATATTACCATTTAAATTTGGCCATGAGGGAGTGCCTAGACCACGTTTTTCTTATTGGGCTGCAATAAATAGATCGAGAGATCATTCTATCCCTTGTCTCAAAAAATGGGTAGTATTTTTGCATACAACCTTATTCCAATTTGACCTAATTGGCGAGCAATCCCAGTTCACTATAGAGAACAAGACAGACCTTTGTTCGCTTCTTCTCCACCAAACACGAAATTTTAATGGGTTTTCCTGGTTACATGTTTATAAACGAGAAATTGGCGGAATAAAAAAAAAAAAACTTGTTTAAACTTAGCACGAATAGAAAAATAAAAAATTCTATGACTTCAAGGACCATAACTTCAGTGTTCAAGATTTCGAAATTTGGATGAAGCAATGGATGATTAATTAGGTGTTATTCCCTCCCCTTTGTGCAGGATATTCAGTATCGCTTCCATGGTCAGTAAGGATGAAAATTGCTCTTGGAGCAGCAAAGGGCCTTGCCTTCCTCCACCAAGCTGACAAGCCTGTTATATACCGGGATTTCAAAGCTTCAAACATTTTGCTAGACTCTGTAATCTTCTTTCCCATCTCAATGCCTAAGGCCTTAAAACATATAGAGTTTTCTTTCTTTTCGATCAATTTTTATTATTGAATTCTTCTTGTGTTCTATCCAGGATTACAATGCTAAACTCTCCGATTTTGGGCTTGCAACGGATGGTCCAGAAGGCGATGACACGCATGTTTCCACAAGAGTAGTTGGCACTGAAGGCTATACCGCCCCTGAATACCTCATGACTGGTAATTTTCTACTATACTTTGCCAAATTTGTTACAAATCTAAATATGTATTGAAATTTGAATCAATTAGCGTGAATTTCGATTGTTTTTTCAGGTCATTTGACAGCAGCAAGTGATGTGTATAGCTTTGGAGTATTACTGTTAGAGCTTCTAACAGGCGGAGATCGTTGGATGAGAACCGTCCTCAGAGAGAACAGAACCTAGCAGTGTGGGCAAAGCCCAACTGAAGAATCTACGAAAGCTCAACCGGATAATTGACCCGAGGCTTGAAGGCCAATACTGCGAATCAGGTGCTCAGAAGGCAGCATCATTGGCTTATCAGTGCCTAAGCCACCAGCCAAAGCTTAGACCAACCATGAGCACTGTGGTAGACACATTGGAGCCTCTAAAGGACTTCAATGACATTTCACTTGGACCATTTGTGTACACAGTCGGTGATTTGCATAAAGAAAATCCAAAAGTGAAGCTCTGAAGGAATTGAACAAGAAAGAGAAAGAGGGACACCTTGACAAAAACCACCAACTTCATCATGGTCATTGGCATCAGGACACTTCCCAAAAATCTCTATCCATTTACTCAGACACTGCTCTACTCCAAAATCTCATAAAGAAATTATACTCTCCCAAGCAGCATACATTTAAGAGGGCATAGATAAAGAGAAACTGTATATGATACTGTCGATAGGATTAATCAAATGTTAAAAAATTTCGTTTGCAATCACTGTATAATCGAAGAGATCACAAGTTCTAAGGCACATGCAAGTGTTTTTACACATACCAGCTTTTGGTTCAATATTATTCTTTATCTTATGAAGGTTTTGCTTAGGTCAAGGGTTTAAATCTTTTTGTCTCTCCCCCCACCCAACCTAAAAACAAAAGTGCCTTCTTTACGGGGATATTTGTCCTTAGAATAAATTATACATATAACCCTTAAACTATGTTTCTTATATCAATTAAACCATTAAACTCTCTAATTATTTGTCTTGTAAATGTTTTGTCTTATTGAAGTCAAAGTTTCAAATCCCCCTTTCCAAAAAAAGAAAAAAAGGTTCAAATTGACTTAAAAAAGTTTAAAGACTTAATTGACATAAAAATTATAATTTGAGGGGTATATATATAATTTACTCTTGTCGTTACTTGAAGACTTTCCTATTCTATATTATGATACTATTTAGAAACTAAAAAAGAAAAATAATTATTCTTTTTGTTGCAAAGGTCTTCCGTTTATAAGCAGGAAGGGTCACCATAACCCAAATCCAAACAGATACAAATTTTCAGAATGTTTGTTGACAAAAAACCGTTGGATTAAATTTTTAATCGAATGCATCACTTCTTATTTTATCGTTGGATGGTTACAAAAGTCGGTGTAATAACGGGGTATAACCATTAGATCAAATATATTTTCGTCTATGTAGGATGGGGTTACAAATTTTTAGATCACTTATACTCTGTTTGGTATGATGAAAAAATAGAAGGAGGTTCGAAGAATAGAAAATTTGAGGGATAGATAAAATATCATGTTTAGTAAGGAAGAAAAATAATAAGGATAAAAAAATGGATGGATAAACTTTCCTTTCAATTCATCAAAATCAAACCCTCTAAAATCGAAAAGAAAGTGAATGAAAAATTAATTTTTTGTATTGAAATGTATCTTATTTGTTTAAATATATTTTGTTATATACATATACTAGTCATAACCCGTGCCTGAAGGCACAATAAAATATCAAATTCGAAAGTTCAAAAAATCGATTCCATTATATTAATTATTTTTAAAAATATTAACTATAAATTAATCAAATATTAAATGATTAAATATATGATAGAAATGAGTGATATGATATTTTTAGGGAAAAAATATATAAATGATTAAACATATGACAGAAATAAGTGATGCGATAAGACGTTTGAGTCTGACAAAGGAATGATTGATGAGGTAAGTGATTGGTGATGGTTTTGAGGGAGAAAATATGACTGGGATAAAATTCAAACACACTCCTGTTTTATTATATAGATTATGTATATATTAATTTCATTTATATACTTATATATTTTTTAAAAAAATTAAAATAAAAAAATTTAAAAATAAAAACAAAAAAAAAATCATCTTAACTAGGGGTGAAAATTTTCGGCTCAACACGATGACATGACTCAAACTCGACACGAATTTTATGACACAAATTTGATTATAACTCAATACGAACTCGAAAATGATCTGACACACGAATACGAAATATAAGAATAAATACTTATTTAGTTCAACCCATCAGACTAAAAATTGACACCATCAACTCGTTTATTTAAGAATAAATACTTATCTATTTTCTTGTTGGTACGGTAACACGAAATTGATACGAAATTAATATTTTAACTAGTATTATAGATATAAAATGTTAATTATTTGTAACTATTTATTAAACATTGACATATTATTATATAAAAAAAGATATTTTTACTAATTATTATTATTATATTTATTTAAGTTATTTTTAAGTTTGTAGAAAAAGTATGAGCATGAATTCAATTAAGTGAAAATAGAATATTAGCGTTAAATTTTTTATTAAAAATTTATGTGAGTCAATACGAATATGAATATAAATACGAATACGAATACGAATACGAACACGATGCGAAAATAAATAGGTCAACTCGACACGACGCGATTAATTAAATGAATTGAGTTAAGTTTGATTAATGTTTGACACGAACCCGCATAATTCAACACAAACCTGACAAGTCACGATTCGATTGTCACTTCTAATCTTAGCCAACACAAAAAAAAATAAAAATTTATCTTTCATCTATCCTACCAATTACAAATAAAAGAAAATGTATGATTCTTATTTTCCATTCATGAATTATAAAAAATGTATGTTTCATATTTTTCTTCTCTCCTAATTTCCATCATTTTTATCAGGTGGATCATTAAAGTAGTTGGCCCCTACTCCCAACGGAGCAACATGTTAGGCTCAATGGGGACGAGTCCTAACATTAAATGGGACCAAATTTCCATTCAACGGATGTTATACTTTAGGATCCCAAAAAAGTTCCATGTGGTTTCCTAGTAAGCACGAAGGTTGGTGATAAGCAAAAGGGGATTGTCGTTTGTTATGAAAGGCAATCTTGGTTTCGACTTGTCGAGTAATACATACGCCAACCGCGTAGCACAAACCTTTGAAAACCCAAACACGGGTTTCATTATTTCAAATAAACCCCAATATAACGTTGCATGTTTAGCCTGCCAAATTGAAACCAAACTTCCAGGAAATGATCACTAGCTCAAGCAACCACCTAACTCTATAAACAGGTCTTCTCTCCAATTCTTATAAAAACTCCTTTTTTTTCTCTCTCTCTCTCTCTCTCCATTAGTTTGTTTGCTGAGAGAAGAAAAATGAATAGAGATAAAGGAATAGATATAGTCGTGAAACAGCGAAGACGTCGCCGCCGGAAGCAGCAGGGCAACGGTAAAGGTCCCGGTTACAATCCGGTGATGGGCCTCTTTTACTTCTGCATTGTTGTGATTCTCCTTGCTGTGGTCCTCTTTTTCTTGTGTTTTTGGCTTCTTTGAAGACTAGTCGTCGTACAATTATATAATATAAAGATTAGGAGAATCTAGTTCCATCATCTTCGCACTTTTGATTTGTAGTCCGTGTTCTATATGGGGGATCTCGAACTCCCCTTGAGCCAGACTTACTGGTCTTTTTGAGTGGATGAGATGACTGATGAGAACGAGTTGGGTGGATCATGATGGAGCTCGATTCTCTCGATCATTGCGTTCAAATTATGTTAGATCTGGACGTTTATATGTTCAATTTCCGATATAGTGTTTTTATTTCTTTTTCAATGTATTGTGTTTGAATTCTTAGAAGTTGAACAAAGGGGATATTTACAAGGAACTGTTGCAAGTGACAAGTTTTGAGGAAAGGTCAACCCTCCAGTAATTTTAATGACATTCTTGATTCATGCATTGATACATTTGTTTTTGGAATTATGCTTAACAAGGGCATGCATTCAATAAAGATCAGTGTAAGGGGTAGAAATCGCTACGAAATTTTAGCCCTCCACTCGAAGGATTTCGGCTGACCTGGCGACACCGAGTCCCAGTAGTCTTTACCTCTCTTCGCCAATAGGACTTTTTCTTAAGGCAATCCCACATCGGAAGAGAGTCGTCTCCCCCCTGTCAGGTAAAGACTACTGGAATTCGGTGTCGTTAGGTCAATCAAAATCCTTCGAGTGGACGGCTGAAATTTGGTAGCGATTTCTACCCTTTACAATTAGAGTAGATTGAATTAAAGAAAGATTAGACTTGAATTCAAGAGAACCCAGAGATTCCTTTTTGAATTCTGAAAGGACAGATTATCACTAACATGACATCCATCTTGAGAGAAGTGGTCAATTCAAGTTTTTAGAAAGGGTTAATTATAATTTGTTCCCTTCAACTATATCTCTTGTTGCAATCAGCTCCATGTAATTTCAAATGTTGTAATTTTAAGTTTCAAGAAGACTAAATTGTTTAACAACATTGATTGGAACATAAAACTACCATTACACTCTCCAGCTTGTATATTATTTTTCATATTTTTTGTTTTTGAAATATCAATTTTATCCATAACAAAAAATAAAGAAACAAAAAAGCCAAAAAAAATACATATGTCCAGCCCAACACAAACACAATGTACAACAACATGGTCACTTTTACCTCCACCCAAGCCCAACACAAACACAATGTACAACAACATGGTCACCTTTACCTTCACTTTTACCTCCACCCAACACCAACATATGCGCGTGTACGTGTGCACATAAACACTTTTTTTTAGGGTAATTGAGTCTTTTAATTTGCATCATGTTTTATGGTCTAAAATTTGCTATTGAAGTTGAAGTTAATTGTAAAATATTCAAACTTTAAGGAGACTATTTGTTGAAATTAAAACCTAAAAAAATGAATAACAAATTATCCAAACTTGAAGGAAGTATTTTGTCATTAATCATTTTAAAAACGCCCTAGTTTTGCATATATTATTTTAAACCTATGGAATGAAGAGGGTGACACCAGCTAGACCCCTGGTGAGACTCTATCATGCGTAACCATAAGTGAGAGAGAGAATTGTAGGATACTAAATGGAGGTGTAATTTGGACGGGTCAACCAGAATTCAATTCGAGGCTAATCTAAAAAAAAACAGGACTTAAGTTATAATTTTTAATACTTAATTTGAGTCTGAACAAAAAATTTTTAACCTGAATTTAATTCGAGCAAGTTTCGGATTGTCGGGTTCAACCTAAATATTAAAATCGGGTTAAACCTGAATATACATAAATTTATAAATATATTTAACCAGAGTTAGTATATATTTTCACTATTCAGAGTTCAGACTTTCACTTCATTTCAAGTCTTCACTCATGTGATTCAATTACTCTCAGATTCCTCTCTCACTCGTCACTCATCTCTCATCTGGTCTCAGACTCTCAGCTTCC